TATTTTTAACATTATAAATGAAGTTTTGTGGTGTGCTGCACTGCCTCCCACTTTTTTCCACAACTTTTTGAAACTCAAAAATTGCAAAACAAAATTGTCTAACGCCTTGAAGATGGTCCCCTAGATTACTAAGCGCCTCTCAATTAATGCAATCCATTACATAACTTTAATAACAATAATTAATGATAATTTCACATCTGTCATAATTTATTGCACAAAGCTAAACAGAAGCCAAACTACCGACAAAGTTCATTTAATTTCTACCCTACTTCTAATTAATTGCTTTAATTTGTATGTAAATAAAAATAATTATTCATGTCATGTCATTATTGAGATAAAATGGCTTCCATTCTTTTTGGGGGGCTGTTGTGAGTTTTCCAGGCTGTATGCTATGTGCCAGAGGCATTCTCTCCTGACATTTCGCCTGCATCTATGGCAGGCACTTGTGCGTTTTCTGGCCTGCATGGCTATGTTCTCCTGACGTTTCGCCTGCATCTATGACTGGTATCCTCAGAGGTCGCCTGCCATAGATGTAGACGAAAGGTCAGGAGAGAATGCTTCTGGAACATGGCCATACAGCCCGGAAAACTCACAACACAGTGATTCTGGCCATGAAAGCCTTCGACAAAACTGAACTTTCTCCGAGGCCCCAGTTACTCTAGTTTTGCTCTCTAACTGCATTTGCTTGGATTCTTACAATGTGTGCATTCTACACTGTAGAATTAATGCAGTTTGATAACACTTTAACTAATTGGCTCAGTGCAATGGAATTCTGGGAATTGTAGTTTGGTGAGGTATTCGCACTCTTTGGTAGATGCACTGTTACGCGCCATCCGCCTTCAGCTTGCACTTCGTTACTTCAGATCACATATTACCCCTTTGCCATACTGACAGTCCACGCCCAAGGCTGCTACAGCGCATGCTCGGTGCCCTTTGACGGGAAACCGCTGCCATGTGCGTCAATTTTCTTTTAGAGCATGCACACTCCCTTTTCCTCATATCCCTGCCTCTGCCACAATCCACGCATGCGCATAAGAAGCTGCCTGAAGCTTAAGCCGTGCCTTCATTGTGCCGGGGGAGTTTGAAGTCTCGCGAGGATTGGGAAGTCTCGCGCGGGATTGAGGGCGAAATTTAAAAACAGCGGAAGGTAGAGGAGAGAGAAGTTGGTGAGTGGCGCGGTGGTGAGGGCCTCCTCTCTTCCCTTTCCCTCTTGTCATGGATCGCCACTCCTCCTATATATTTCTGGGTACTTGTCAATATAATAAGTATGTTTCCCCCCTTTTTAGTTTCCTAGTGGCTTCCAAATACACATCAACTTAAGTAGTGAGCATCTTCTTGCGGAGGAAATCTCCCCCTCCCGCGAATTTACATTGGCGTGCTCTGGGAAAAGGCTTTTGAAAGTTATCATTATTGTTTAACACAATTATTAGCATTATTCTTGTTATTAGTTCCTATTTACTCTTCTGTTCCTTAAATGGGAGACTACGAATAAAAACGGAGTGCTTTAAGGCCTCTGCTACTTATACCTATTCTCCCTTGGCTCAATGACAAACCTCATCGTTTATTTGAATAAGCTTAAAACTATGTGCATCCTTATGAAAAACACACATGGTTATTGGATTTCTGAACATTTCCTGTACTAGTATGCTGCTCACCCAATACATTTTTGCCATGGAGTCTGCAGGATTAATAGCAGTGACGGGGGGGGGGGGGAAACAATTGCCATGGAGATGATGATGGCAGATACAGGCAGAGAAAAGTGTCTCGTCTCTTATTATCTCAGAGACTTTTCTCCCTAGGAACATTCCGTTGTATTCACAAAGCTTACCAACCATCTTGGGAAGGTGTTTTCTAGAAAAGTGAGGAATTCCTTGTGCAGATGCCTCTTCTATCTCGAGTATTGCAAACAGGGTCTTCTAGGTTGTGACACCCAACTATTAGAAGAAGTTCCCCAGAGATACTAACTTGGCACCAACTCTTTACAGAACCAGGGACAAGTGCGTTCATGAGTGCTGCAGATATCCAATGGTTCATGCCCACTAGAACGATGTTTATTTATTTATTTGTCGTGTCAGGGCAACCAGTCAATTATATTACATTTCTAACAGAACAAAGCAAACAAACAGACAAAATACAAAATTTGTGAGTTTGGTAGTTGATTAAATGTCCTTTGACCAGTATCTGGCCACTTGGAGTGCTTCTGGTGTTGCTGCAAGAAGGTCCTCCATTGTGCATGTGGCAGGGCTCAGGTTGCATTGCAGCAGGTGGTCAGTGGTTTGCTCCTCTCCGCACTCGCATGTCGAGGATTCCACTTTGTAGCCCCATTTCTTAAGATTGGCTCTGCATCTTGTGGTGCCAGAGCGCAGTCTGTTCAGCGCCTTCCAAGTCGCCCAGTCCTCTGTGTGCCCAGGGGGGAGTCTCTCATTTGGTATCAGCCATTGCTTGAGGTTCTGGGTTTGAGCCTGCCACTTTTGGACTCTCGCTTGCTGAGGTGTTCCAGCAAGTGTCTCTGTAGATCTTAGAAAACTATTTCTAGATTTAAGTCATTGACGTGCTGGCTGATACCCAAACAGGGGATGAGCTGGAGATGTCTCTGCCTTGGTCCTTTCACTATTGGCTGCTACTCCCGGCGGATGTCAGGTGGTGCAATACCGGCTAAGCAGTGTAATTTCTCCAGTGGTGTAGGGCGCAGACACCCCGTGATAATGCGGCATGTCTCATTAAGAGCCACATCCACTGTTTTAGTGTGGTGAGATGTGTTCCACACTGGGCATGCATACTCAGCAGCGGAGTAGCACAGCGCAAGGGCAGATGTCTTCACTGTATCTGGTTGTGATCCCCAGGTTGTGCCAGTCAGCTTTCGTATGATATTGTTTCTAGCACCCACTTTTTGCTTGATGTTCAGGCAGTGCTTCTTGCAGGTAAGAGCACGGTCCAGATTGACTCCCAGGTATTTGGGTGTGCTGCAATGCTCCAGTGGGATTCCTTCTCAGGTGATCTTCAGAGCTCGGGATGCTTCTCTGTTCTTGAGATGAAAGGCACATGTCTGTGTTTTAGATGGGTTGGGGATCAGCTGGTTTTCCCTGTAATAGGCAGTAAGAGCACCTAGAGCTTCGGAAAGCTTCTGTTCTACCATCTCAAAGCTCCCTGCTTGAGCAGTAATGGCATGATCATCAGCATAGATGAAACTCTCTGTCCCTTCTGGCAGTGGCTGGTCATTTGTGTAGATGTTGAACATGGATGGAGCAAGCACGCTCCCCTGAGGCAGGCCATTCTTCTGTTTCCGCCATCTGCTTCTCTGGCCCTGGAACTCAACAAAAAAGCTCCTGTTTTGTAGCAGGTTTCCTATGAGGCGGGTGAGGTGGTAGTCCTTTGTGATATTATACATTTTTCTCAGGAGGAGGCAGTGGTTTACAGTATCATAGGGTTCTGACAGGTCTATGAAGACAGCTCCTGTGATCTGCTGCCTTTCAAAGCCATCTTCTATGTGCTGAGTCAGGTTCAACACTTGCGATGTGCAGCTTTTGCCTTTTCTGAAGCCAGCTTGCTGTGAGATCAGACATGGGTCTATTTTTTCCATAATTCTATGCAAAATAAGTCTCTCCAGAACTCTGTAGAGGTGGCACAACAGGGAGATTGGTCTGTAGCTTTTTGGGTCATTACAATCTTTGCCTGGCTTCAAGATGGCGATGATTCTTGCTTTCCTCCAGATTTTGGGGATCTGACAGAATGCAGTGCAGTTGTTCATCAGCTCCAGCAGCCAGCACCTTGCTTTTGGACCAAAGATTTGGGAGGATGCCCTTCCCAAAAGATTAGCTTGCCAAATGGTTTACAGAAGGCAAGATCAGCTTTCATCATTGAAGAAAAAGCTTTAATTTCCTGCAATGTATAGCACACTGGACAGTCATTTTAGCAAGTGTTCAATGTGGAATGTTAATTCAATCCATAAATTCTGCCACTCTCAAGGCCAGCTCTGACATTTTGACATGTTGCTCTCCAGAACCTCTTATTGTGCTCTGGAAAAAAATTCAGCACACCCAACACTGAATACAGGAGCCCACTAGCTCTAACAGACAAGAGTTCTTTCTCTCACCCTGGACTTTCCACAAATATATAAACCCAATTTTCCTAGTTTCCAACAGACCTCACAACTTCTGAGGATGCCTGCCATAGATGCAGGCGAAACGTCAGGAGAGAATGCTTCTAGAACATGGCCATACAGCCTGAAAAACCTACAGCAACCCATTGATTCTGGTAATGAAAGTCTTTGACAATACATTAAACCTGAGGCACACACACATACTTACATATTAGAATTGCAGCCTCTCATGATCCTAACAAAACTACAAACTTCTGTATTCAGTAGGAGGCAACCAAAGCAGTTTAAGCAAAATTGTAGTGCTATGACTGTGTAGTGTGAAGGGAATCTCCGTGCCCTTTCCTGTTGTTTCTCCTCCCAAGCAAGTTGAGGCTTGCTGCTCTCTTATCCCTTTCCTTCCCATCCCTCTCCCAGAGTGTGCTTTTCTCAGAATACTCTGTTGCTTCAGGTGAGGTATGGGACCCTCTTCACAAAAGCCATTTGCAAAGAGGCAGGTGCGTGACAAATGAAGACATTTCTTTAGTTTACACAAATATAGTATTCTGGCAAGGAAAAGCATGGGACATCTACAGAAAGGGAAGTATGGATCACAAAAACCTTTCTACCAACCTGACTGATATAGCTGTTATTTTGGGTAAAATTATACTCTATAAATGCTACTTTTTTGTTCCACTTGAAGACCTTCACCTACCCTTTTCATTGTTTTTTTCTCTTTTCTTCAGCCTTCTTTGGCCTTTCCTTGAAATATGGTGTTTTGTATGTTGTAAAACCTGCTGAAATGCATTTCTGTTAAGGTAGGGATGCAGAAAATGAGCACAACTTCTGCCTCTGAAAAGAAATGTTCCTCCAATCTCCAGCCATTTAGTACTGCAATAACTTTAATATTTTGTTGGGCATTTAGGTATCCAAAGAGAAGAACCAGGCGAAGTAACCGAGGTAATATGAGTACATCAGATCTTAGTATTTTAGGTGGGAATGATTTTTAACTTTTCAGTGTCTGTGACAGTAGATATTTGGGGACTGGAGGAAAATTTCATTTGAGGGGGTAAAATGAGTGTTCAGTTTTTGTTTGTATTTTGAACAAAGTATTTAAGTCAGTTGTGTGTTAGAGCATGTATGCTGCATGAGAAAGTTTTTAGCTTCAATTGCTGGCATCTCCTATAAAAATATGTACAATTTCTGACTCTGACTGATGTTGCCCTTACTGGACTGGATTGGCTAATGATTTTGCTCACTTTAAAGGCAGCTTTCTGTCTGCTGATGCTAATAGCCTGTGCTTTGTTGAAAAATTGTGTCTTGCTATTTAGATAGGGTAGTTAATGTCATGTGTCAGGGTAGACTTATTTTACTAATGCCATCAACTTCACTGCACTGGACACTTTGTCTTGAATGCCCGATCATCTCCCAAAGCAGTTACTTTACTCTCAGCTTCAGAAGATCCTCTGAAGATTCCAGTCACAGATGCAGGTGAAACATCAGGAGGAAATGCTGCTAGAACACGGCCATACAGCCTGGAAATCACACAACACTCAAGTCCTATGGATTTTTGAGGATGCATGGATGGGGGGGGGGGGGAGAAAGATGCCAAGAGAAAGGTTCATCAAGCAAACCCTTGTTGGGATTATCTTCTATGTTGAAATGTATGTCCTCAAGGCGAAAGGCTATGCAGATCCAGAATAGTGTTCGAAGTCACTTATGGGCCCTCCACCAAGTCTGCCCTTGGAAGAAAATCATACTCGGCCACAAGTGATTGCCAGTGATGTAAGTTGAAAGTTCATGTGCATAATAGAGTTGTTTTGGATCATACTGACAGATCCATTCATGTAGCAGTTATTAATTAAAGTTAAGGATAGTCTTCTCTTCTTTGGGTGTACACTATGAGAAGTATGTGGGATAAGAGATCAGTTTGAGATTGGATGACAATTCTGCAGTTTTGAAAATTGGGTGGCAATGTGAATTTGCCTTGCACTGAGTCAAGCTATTACTCTGTTTGACTGAGCACTTGCACCTTGGGCTGGCAGCAGCTGTTTAAGATCTCTGATAGTGATGTTTCCTAACCTGATACCTGAGATCTTTTGTAACTGGAGATAAAAGGCTTATATCTGTCATCTTGCACATTGAAATACTTCTACCTCTGAGCTGTTCCCCCACTTGTTTTTGGGGAGTGTTATTTGTGTATAGCAGAATGATGGTAAAAGTTTAAAATATTTGTCAAAATTTAACTGATGAAGTCTGTACTTACCTGTCTCAAAAGTTCTCACTGGGAAGAATTTATCTCCTAAACTAATCAGAAAAAGATTTTTGAAACACAGGTTAACTGCAGGATCTATCTTTTCATATATGAATAACTATCTTCACCCTTTAAAGCCTCAGAGTTACACTGATGACCATGGCTTGGCACCATGGTTTTCTTTTTCTCTGGTGGGTAAGTGTCTTCATAGTTGAACTATCTATGATCACTATCCCCTCCCTTTCTAAAGGTTGAAATGGGAAGGGTTGTGTATGTTTTGCTTCAAAAAGATTACAGCTTAGAGTTGGGTAGGGAATTGAGAACAGGGTCTGAAATTGCACTAGACAACTCTGCAGTCTGTGTTTGTACTTTATACAAATATCATCAATGCAGTATAAAAAAGATATCTTTCAACTTCTTTATCAATGTAGTTCCCTTGTGTGATAGATTAGGCTGATTGGCTCTGAGTCAACCAACAAATTTTGTGGCCTAAAGAATTTAGTTTTGGTCTCTCCAGTCCTAGTCCAGCACTCGCAATGCTCCACTCTGATAGGTATTCTTAAATATTCCAAACAAAACAGCTTAAAGATGATGAGGCAAATGCAAGGTGCATGTGGCTCAAATCACAGTTCAGATGAGAGAGATTATAAATTTATTAGAATGCGCAATCTTGAGTGATGGCAACTTTCAGAAACATGATTTGCAAACTACTGTATTTATTCGAGTCTAATGCGGCATCGAATCTAATGCGCACCTTAATTTCCAGTATATGAAATGCAGTTGGGTAGTACTTTGGTCCTCTCTGCTCCATTATAAATAGATAAGTTATTTTGAAGGAAGGATACAGCTAGGAATCAATCTGCAGCGCGCCATGTAGAAGGAAAATAGTGGTAGGGCTGTTCTGTTTTACTCTTGAAGCAGTGCACACTACTTCGAGCAGCAGTGGGAAAATTTCTAGCCCGTGGGCCATGTAAGGCCCTCAGAATCATTTGGTCAGGCCCTGTGCAGGGAATGTTGCCAGCCCCAGCCCGCCCACATAATCCAGCTCCTCTTCTGAGCTGCTATGCTGACACTTCTGTGGGTTGGGTGTCATTTAGCATTCAGATCTGAGCTACTTCTGGGTTCCTCTCCTTGCACAGGTGCGTTCTGCTTCTTTTGCTCTTGTATATAAGATTTGTAAGAATTTGTGTGCACAGGCAGCTGCTTGTGCTACATGGCTTTGGAAGTTTAATTTGATTTTTAATATATAACTGTATAATTTATAATATAGACTGTTAGAATAATTTATTTGTAATAAATATATGGCTTGCAAATGTTGTTATACCTAAGTGGCCCATGGCAGAAAAAAAAAGGTTTTGCACCCCTAACTTGGAGAATAAGATAAGAAGATTTTATAAGTTTTTCCCCAGTTGAAAAAATATATTTAAAAACATGTTTAGGTCAAAAATCTAGGTACCTTTATAGCTCACCTTTTGTCTCATCCTTGAAATAATTCATCTAAGTTTCTGCAATGGAAGTGAGAGACAGATTGGGTTTGCTAGACTCCCTCTTCTGTACTGTAAGGGCAGTGGCAATGAGTTTTGGTAGGACATGGATGTAATGATAGTTTTTATAATTCAGGCAGCACTACCTTAATTAAATGATTTGCCAGTGTATGAGTTGGCAGACATCTTTTCTGCTGACTGAACTGGCCTTCTGCCAGTTGATTTCAGGGATCAGGGAGCAAACTGGCTTGAAGAGTCAAAGAAGGGACAAACAGAGGGGGGAGGAGAAGGGCAATGTCAAAGCCATCCCCTCCCATCTCAGGGAAACTACCAGTGACCAGTGAAAGCTCAACTAGCCCTTAGAGGTTTTCGTGTGTTAAGGTTGTGTCTTTAGTCTGTAGTACTAACTACATACATTTACTAAGGAAAAGGCCTGTTTGATTCTAGTTTGTCTTATTTCTAAATAAAAATGTTTGTGAATCTAAATTGATACATGTTTTATTTATTTATTTATTTATTTATTTATTTATTTATTTGATACACTTGTATACCGCTAATATCTCAGCCTAGAACAGCGACTCATTGCGGTTTACAGCAGTTAAAACAATCTACAATTTAAAAACATATACACATATAATAACAAATTCAATAACAAATTATTGGGCCACCAATAATAATCCCATATATCTCGAGTTCCACATGTATGTGGAAGGAACTCATAAAATTCCACATAGATGTAATTACTGTGTTTTCAACCTTATACCTCCTATGTCATTTACAGTCTACAAATATACTAAAATATTTAACTTTTTTCTGTTTTCTTTGTAGTGCATGATAGTTGGAGTGGTTTGACATAGCTTTTAAATAGTTTCTGCAAGATTCCCTTGTGCTGAGCTTTTGGGAGTAATTAGTGTATAAACTACGAGTCAAAATGTTATAAAGCTGTGGGAATTTTGTGTGTGAGTTTTACCTGATAGAATTGGGAGCAATTTGATTTAGACTGTTAAGCCCAGACATTATTTAAAGCTGGGTAAACAATGCTTGGGGAAAACCCACTTATTAGTTGTCTTGGAATGTGTTGGACGAGAAAGAGTGGTGAGAGTTATGGTGGTCTTGGTTACAGAGAGGCACTGTTCTTTGACAGCCTCATAGGCTTCTGAAGCCATGGAAATAGTGAGCAGCTGCTTCAAGTAGATTGAAAAGGATTTGCATTTCAATTATCTCACCATGTGATTCTACCTATTCTGGGAGGCAACAGTAAGGGCGATGGAACAAGCTTGAAGATCTTCGAAGAAGTAAACAGATTTACTAATTAAGAGTTGTTACTAGATTTATGCTTACAGTATCATAAGATGGAATATACTTGAAGGTGAGTGATTAGTTTTTCTGCTACAAGAATGCTGGGCTTGCCGGCAAGAAAGGGTTTTTGTTTTTTTTTTTGGTTTTTTAAATGTAGCTTTTTTTCAAGCTTGCTGTTAACATTTAGTTGATGTCTATAGATAGTTTTGTGTGTTAAGATAGTTTTAAAAATTTTCCAACTCAACCTTTCAATTTATATTTACCATGTTACACTTTAAAATGGCTATGAAGATCTTTTGTACTGATGCTAATTTCTTTCATAGTACCCCTTCAAGGTCCTCAAAAGAGAGAAAATACTATTCCTACTTCAACATACACATAGTATTGCTGATGGTCAGAAATGGGGAGATTATGATGTAGATTACTGTATAGACTGAAGCTAACAAGCCTAATCAGTTTGAAGAGGATAAACCTACTTAAATTCATTGTGACTATGTAAGTAACAGTACTTAGCAGTCAACTTTCTTTACTACTCAGTAAGGCTTGCGTTCAGTATTAATACTATATACAATTGCAGACTGAACACTCACAATAATTTGGGCCAGTTTTTAAATCAGATTTGCTTTGCACTCGTGAGTAATTATGGTGTTGAATATCTAGTTTCAATGGGTAGAGGGAGGACATAAAGATTTTCTTGCAGTCTCTGATATGTCAGTGTAATACTGGGCTATACATGTTGTTGTGTAGTTTTCAAGATTGCGAATCTCCTAGATGCAAGGTTACGGTATTTAAAAGTGGTGCAAATTGACTTTACAGAGCCCACTTTATTATTCTGGAAACATTTTTAAAGAATTGCAGGAATCTACTAATTCTTGAATAAGCTGAACGCTGACACATGTATTTTAACAGATTATCATTAACATTGAACTATAAAAATGTCCATAGTTTTTTAGGCTAGTAACACTAAAGAAAAAGTGAAGACCTTACATTCTTTTTGGATGGAAGTTTGTTGCTTTGAAATTTCAAATACTAAGCTTAGAAGGAGTTAGAAACTGAATTCTTAAAATTAGTTATATACTTCAGCGTTGTGATTATAGCCTGGGGAAAGATTTGATTCATTATGTTGTCATCTAGCATACAAAGTATCGCACTATTGTATGTACAAAGCCTTTTTCTCCTTATCTTCCATTGTTTTATTTCCCATTTTCACAACACTAATTTTAATTGTGCTAAAGCACTATTCATTTGTGGTTGCTGAAATGTCAGTCACCAAGTTCTGCGAATTGAAAAGCAATTTCCACAGAGAAAGAGCAAAGCAGAAAACAGGAAGCAATGTTTGCTTTATAGACAAAAATTACGTTAAAAAAGGAAAGCTAATTGGTAGGTGTAGAGAAACCTTGGGGGGACTAGTAAGTACAATTGACATATTAACAATATTGATTCATCAGAGTACAAAAATCGGTAATTTGGATGTAAATGAATTAAATTAATTGATTAAAACTTGTTTCATTATTATCATTATCACTAATATTATAATGCAAAGGCGAGGCACTTGAGCAGCTCACAGTGTGGTATACCACCATCTGCTCTAACCAGTAGTAATTTAAGTATGTTGTATCATGACCATTTAATTGTTAATGTATGTGTCATTTACATAGAGTACGAGTGTCGAAATGGAGACTGATGCAGATACAATTTCACGTCTTCGGTGTCAGCTCAAAGAAGCTGAGGAGGAAAGAAGAAAAGCAGCACAATATGGCTTGAAGTTGTTGGAGAATGAGAACTTGTTGCAGAATCGGCTAGATGAACAGCAAAATGAAATGGTTGCACTAACAGAGGTGAAATTTCACCTAGGTGTTTTTAACTAGATCTTGTTTGTTTCTGCTTCCTGGTATAAAAATAGAGATGCTCTCGTATTCTCCATCAAATTTAAGATGTATAATAAATTTAAAAAAATGAGTGAGGTCCTTGAGACCAAATTGCTAACTAAGGAGAAAAACCTTGCATAAATTGAGACTGAATTTTCTTAGCGATTGCTGCCATCATGTGGAAAGTGTACCGTATTTTCCCTGCCTACTCAGTGGAATTTCTCTTCTGCCCATAGACTAATTATCATGAATTACACTATGTAACAAAATTTGAAAAAAAAATCTGTTCCTGGTTTGAAAGTGTTATTTCCTGTTTAATTGTGCAGTACTTACTTTGAAAATAGTTGTTATACTCCAGCAATTTTGTTTTTGTGGTTGAGGGTAGTACTATTACTTCCTTCCATCTAGGTTCTTTGCTTGTAATTTTCCTCAATGAAAATATGCCATTTATAACTTTCCAACATATTTTTTGCAGTTTCATATACATTTTTCATGATTTTATGATAGAACCAATTAGGAAATGATGTTTATGACCCAGGAAGGAAAATCGAGTTACATAGTGTTATATGACCTGTATTTTGAGTTAGGTAATAATACAGTTGACTGTACTATCATAGTTAATGTTCCAAAGGGCTTCCAAATCAACACCTGTGATTAAATGTTATATGTGCTTCCATGTGCCCAGTAGGTGTGAATCCCGGTCTTCCCCATTTGCTACTCTGGACATCAATGCTTGGTTTTCTTGGGAAAGCAATAGAAAGGGAGTGCAGTAGTATAAAAGGTGCTTCCTTGCCAAGGCCTGTGAATAAGCTTCAACATCACATGCTTGGCAGGCTATTTCCTGATTAAAATCTGTCCTGCACTGCTGCAACTCTGTCAAATTTGTTTTCCAGAATTTTGAACAAGAAAAGTACACTCTTCAGAAAGAAGTAGAACTTAAGAACAGAATGTTAGGAAGTTTGAATCATGAATACGATGCTCTTAAACACCAGCAAAATGCACAACTGGATGTTCTACGTGAACAGCTGGAAAGGGCCCATGGGCAAGAAATGAATGAACTTAAGAATAAGGTTTGTGATAGTCACATATATTGTTGCCCTCAAGTAATTACTTAATGCACTTGGAGTGGTTGTAGGCATAATTCATGTTTTGTCAAAATTGCTCTGAATTTTGAGCAGTTTCCTTATTTACAGTACTAAATAACTGATTAGATTCCTAATAAATTTGAGTACATGGTGTATAATAAACTGAAAATATAAACAATGATTTGTTTTGATTTTTTAAAGATTCTAAGCAGTATGGATTGACTAATTTAATGTTAGTTGTATATAACTGGTCTCCTTTCAAATTGTAGAAAGCTCGTGAGGTGAACAGAGACCTTCAGATGCAACTTGATCAATGTTATTGATCCTGTTTCCTCTGTATTTTCTTATGTAACTAATAATAAAGCACATGTATTTATGCTGAAAAATCTTCTATTTATAAGGTGGAAAAACTGAAATCAGAACTAGATGAAGCACTGCTTAGTGAGAAACAACTAAAACACAAAGTCGATCATCTGAAGGAGCTCATGGCTTCTAAATCAGAAGAACTGCGCTTAATGTCAGAACGTGTGCATGACACCATGTCTTCAGAAGTCCTCAACCTTCAGCTTGAGCTGCAGGCAGTTGAACAGGCAAAGGTATGCAATCTGGATACAGTATTCCCCACCCCATAGCCCGATTCTGTATGTGTAATATCACATGTATAATACCTGAAGTATTCAATTTTACTACTATAGAATCCTGTGTAGTAGTTTGACTTATATAGGACAATGGACTTTCCACCACAATTGCATTTTTAGAGAAAACATCCCTCCAAGAATCTAGGTCCTTCAGTAAAATTCTATGGTTAGTTTCCAGCAGAAGTTGATCATAGATTTGTGTCAGAAATTCCTATAGAGGCATTCTCTCAAATAAAAAAGCAATTTCTATCATCATGGTTTTTTGTTTTCATGGGGTTTCTGTACCACTAACCCCAGCAAATGTGGATGGCTGATAATAATTTAGCATTTTGAAAGCAATTGAGTTGATATTTATCTAATCTTGTATAGATGACTGAAAAGACATTAATATGTCAGTAAATACAACCTAAGGTAAATCAGTTGTGTGGTACTTTGTTTTTGGCAGGCAGACCTTGAAGAAAAGTTGCGTGATCTACAGTACTCCAAGGAGCAGTTGGAACTTGGAAACAGCAATCTGACTAATCGAGTAGCACGTTTTGAAGAAGAGAAAGAGGAGAGAGAAAAAGACCTTGTTTCATACTGTAATGCATTAGAGGTGATTTGTGCTTAATGCTGAAAGTAAAGGGTGGATAGTTTAACGCAAACTTGCTGGAACTTACATTTTAGGGAAAAAATGATACTATTTTGCTAGATGACATGCTGAAATTTTGGAACACAAAGTTAAAATACTCGGCTTTTTTTCAGCAACATACAGTGGGACTGATCAAGTAGCGGGAAGGCTGTTGTAGTTTCGACCATAGCTTTATGTTGAGGTCGCAACAAATTTCTGGCAGGTGCGGACAACAGAGATGGAGGGAGGGAGGGAGGAGATAAGAAGCATTCTCTTGTGCGCTGGACCATTTTTTCCCCCCAAAACCTTGTAGCCTCAGCTTGCTTTAGAGAGAGAAAAAGGAGGAAGAAAGAAGAAAGGGAAGGCTTCCTTGGGGAACCAAGGCTTGAAGCCTAGGCACTCCTGTCTGTGAGTGTCTGGGCATTTCTTTCTCTTCCCGTCTTTTGAGTCTTGTGGGTCCCTCCTTCCCTTCCTTCTTGTGAGTGTTGGTCTTCCCTTCCCATCTGAGATTGGAGGTTTTTCCTTTTCTTCCTCTTAGGCATCTGGGGGTAGGAGGCTAGGTCTCCTGCTCTCTCCCTTCCTCCCCCTTTCCATCCTGTTGAGTCTTTCTCACAATGAGAGAGTTTGGACTGGATTCTTTCTCTCCTTTTTCACCCTTTCTGTTTCCTGACTTGGGTGTCCCACATGTACTTCATACACCTTGCTTCCTCGATGCCTCAACTTTGTGCTTATTTATCCGCCCATGAAGGCACTGAAGTCCATGAGAGTTTGTTTCCCTTGGATTCTTTGCACAAAGGAGGAGAGGGATTGCTAAAAAAACCCAATTGGTTTAAAATAAAATTATGATTTATTATCAGTAAAGGTTTGATTTGTATATGTATTTTATATGTCTGGGATCGTGTATAAATTTCCGAGGCCAAAACAGAGTATCGGGTTGAAAAAGTTTAAGAAGCCCTGGTTTAGAACAACTTATAAAAAACACAACTGTGAATTTCCAAAACAAATTAGTAGAAAATATAATTTACATGGGCTCCCTAAATTTAAGAACAACCTCCTTGGGAATACCCTTCAGGTCTTCCTTGGTCTATTCAAGAAGAGCTTACCCTTGAGACTAAAGATAGGAGACTTGTCTGTGAACAAGGTAATTTAAGGCATGAAGCTGCTCAATTGTCACCTTAATCCTTGACCTGCTGACTTAACTATCCGTGCTGCTAAATGAAAGTGCTGGGAAAGGGATAAGACTGTGATGTGTACTACTGGAATATGCAGTGGTAGTGATGGACGTGTTGCACTGGTGAAGTAACAGGAGCTCAGAACCTTAAATAAAATCTATTGAGCAAAAAAGCAGTTGTACTCGGATATGTATATAGTTGTATATAACTGGTCTCCTTTCAAATTGTAGAAAGCTCGTGAGGTGAACAGAGACCTTCAGATACAACTTGACCATGCATTGCAACAGGCCTTGGATCCTTCCAGTAAAGGCAATTCTTTGTTTGCCGAGGTACCAATTTTTATTGTTATCAAACACTACAATACAGTCCCTGTGTCCATGAGTTATATGTTCAGAAACTCCCTGTGCAAAATACCAAAACCTAGTATATTGACCATACTTGGGCTGGAAGCATACCATACGACAGAGACATCTCCAGGTTTTCCAGTGCTATTCTATGGTATGGTTTGGCTGGCAAATGTTTTTTGGAGCATGGATAAGTGAAACCATTGATATTGAGTCTTTGGATAAGGCGGGGGGGGGGGGGGGGGGATCATACTATATATACCAGTGAATTCTTTCGAAGGCACCTTACTTTTCAGAACTTATATCAATTTGAATGGTTCTTTCATATTATAAATCACGACTTTAATTTCCATTGTGTCATACTTATTGTTCACCCCTTTGAGTCCTTATATTGGGAGAAAGGCAGGATAAAAAGGAAATAGTTAACGAATAAAGGAAAAAAGTTACAATGAAATACTTTTCAATTAAATAAAAAATTAAATAGGGGGTGAACAAGTGATTGCTAAATGATGTGACATTTTTTGAAACACAGAAATTAAAATAGTTCTGACAGTTTGTGGGATTTAATTATTTGGCAATAAAGCACATGGCACAGAAGCTTCTGTTGACATAATGGTTAGTATCAAATGTCACTTAAGATAGTTTGCAGGGCAAATTCTTTCCTACATTCTGCATGTTTTACTAGGAAATTGCATAAGTGAATTAACTTGAAGCATTCTTTTGTTTATGTATGATAGGTGGAAGACCGTAGAGCAGACATGGAACGTTGTCTGATCAGCACGAAAATAAAATATCAATTGTTACAAAAACAGCATACTTTCACTAGAGAACAGCTGCAGAGACTAAAGGTAAAATTAATTCACCACAGTCCTTGTTAGAACAAGTGGGTAAAAGTTAGGAATTCAGAACACAGTCATTACGATTATAAAGACTTTTGTATACAGGATTTCCAATTGTCAGGGATCAATTTGTTACTATTCTGCCATACATGCCCAAATCAATAATCGTCAAGTGAGCCAGAAAGCTGGGTTGTTCTGTTGTTGTTTTTTTTTTGGGGGGGGGGGGCTATATGGTCATGTTCTAGAGGCATTCTCTCCTCTAGAACATGGCCATATAGCCCGAAAAAACCTACAACAACCCAGTGATTCCGGCCATGAAAGCCTTTGACAATACATTGAGCAAGAAAGCTCTCTTCTGTCACTGAGAGGGCAAGAGATGACAGTGAATATCAGTTACTAGTAAACAATTATCTGGACCTGAGGTGATAAGACTGGACTGGCTGGAAAAGACTAGGAAATAAGGAAGTCATCTTGTAACACGAATAACCCTTTGATGGCTTTGTGTGCTGAGCTTCATGCTATATTGTGAAATTGTTTTGACATGCCAATTTGTTCCAAAAGCAGTTTGATTAATGGCATGGCAATTTGATTTTTTTTTCTTTGCATTTTTATCACCTTGTTTAAGGTTTGTATTTGTTATATGTACATCTAAAAAGCAAAATGGTTGTAGAAACACTGACCCCCAAATCCCACATGGTTTATAGCTGCAGATGGCCACGCTGTTGCGCATGAAAGGTTCACAGGGCGAACATGATCAGCTTGAACGTTTGCAAAATATGCTTCAGCAAAAGAATGGTGAAATAGAAGAGCTGCTGACGAAAATGAAGCAACTAGAAAAGTCTGTGGTAGGTCAATGGGCAGTCTGTTTTCTCAAAGATATTTGTAGCTAGATTAGGAATGGGAGAAAAGTGGGCTGAAAAAGGTGACACAGTAAGCACAAAACAGGCTATGTAGACACCTAACTGGAACACAAGTAAATATCCCATATTGCAGGGTGTGCAAGTTATTTCAAAGAAAACAATACAGTCAGGATAGCTTCCAAGAACTTTATTGGCCTCTTCAAACCATTCATTCTTCCCTTTGTGTTCTAGGACATAACACTTGTCTGAATAGCTCAAGGGCTAAGCCCTGGTTTAAGGCAGCCAATTTAGGTCCATATTAACAAATTATGTTTTAGAAAGAGCTCAACATGGGAAAATATATTTGATATCTTCAGTTCTACTGCAAGATAGCATATTCTCTAGCAATGGTGCTGTCAAAAGTGTGCCCAACGGTAGCCCACCTCCACACTCCTCCCACTCCATAGTCCCACACTTACTTAATTGTCTCCATGAAGAATACACTGTAATTTTGATTATACTCAAACCCAAGTTACTGTAATGGCCAGCATCAAGTACTCAACTTTTTTTTTTCATTTTAACTGTTTCTCTAGAAGGGATCTGAAAATTCAAGAGCAATGAAACTTTCGGACACTTCAGAATGTGTAGGTTCTGAAGATGGGTATTATACTGATTTGCTTCAGATGAAACTCGAGAATTCAGAGTAAGTTTTATAGGTTCAAAGTATAACTTAGTTTGTAGTTTATTTTCTTGGGCTTCATCACCCACTTTAAACTGGCTCATGTTGAATAAATACTGTGCATGTATAAAAATGAAAAATCTGGGTCAACATAATCTTTTAAATAAAAGTAAATTTTGTGTAGTTATACTGCCAATGCAGTTCCAGAAAGGAAAGGAAAACCACAAAGTAACTATAGATATGGACAACTAGTTTCACATTTACCTTACAGCTGTTATCTCACACCAGTCATGATGCTGCACCCTGAAGCTCCAGTATAATTATTAAAGCTGTAAGGATCTGAATATTGTCAGGAATGTTCTACACTTCCTGCCCTGAGGTGTGATAAACAGCACAACATCCTTTGCCTGTATTGAAAAAGTTAACACCACCCATAACATATTTATGTTGATAATGTAAATATGCAAAAGGTAGAATTTTTCCAGAGCTTTATCTACATTGCTTAAAGCTTATGGTAAAACATGAGTGAGGTTAACTTTCAAGTTAGGCAAGGAACTAAAATATCTTCCATATTTATTATGGAAATTGTTTTAAAAGGTTCAGAAATTGTTGGGCTTTTTTTAAAAAAATCATGCCATTAAGAAGAATTCTTCCTCTCAGGAAGCTGAAGCATTGAGAACAATTTACTAAAGCAGCTTGAAAGTGATGAGACCAGGGCATGGCTTAATGCAGCCTTGATTCTGCCACAACAAAGAGGGTTTCCAGAAAACAAATATTTTTATATCAGGTGGGCTCCTCTCAGTGATCTCTCAATTGACTAATCAACATCCTGTGAAGACCTGTCAATTGTTCTCTAAATGATTCTTGCAGGAATCCAGTTCTTATAAAACATTTGCTAGGAAAATGGAACAGAAAGTTACCCCTGAATGTGCAGAAATAGTGGTTGTGGTCTGTAGCTCCCTTGGCATATTCTTTGTTCAGAAATTAAGCCCTTTGGAGAGGGGAAGTTGAGTTTTGGTGCAGTTATTCTACTCAGGTCCAACATTATGTTCAGTCTACAAAACATTTTTTTTCAAACTCTGTTTTCGAGAATGCTTTGCCAAGCTTCTATAAGCACCCTGATAGGAAGAGCATGCTGGAATGATGTACATCAATTGTTCACAATATTTGATCTCCCAGATGTTTTGGGCTTCAGTTTCCAAAATTCCTGACCATTGGACAAGTTGACTGTGGCCTTTGGGAGTGGAAATCTGGAGGATCAAAGGCTGGGAATCACTGATGGAGAAGTAGGGAGATGAGAAGAGAATTTATCCATGTCGTCTACAACATCCCCACTTGCACTGAAGTAATGGGAGGATGCTTTAGGGTAGGAAACCCAAAAAACACTTCTCTAACTAATGGGGGATGGAACTGATTCGCAAATATTCCTTTAAGAAAATTGAGGTATGTTTCTGAATTATGCTCAGGATAACTTTTATGGCATCACTATTGGCACTGAGCGGTGGTCTTTCCAAGCTGTTCAGTATTCTTTCATTCCCTATTTGCACCAGTACAAAAGTAGGTTACCATAGGCTCAAAAGACTTTTAATGATCAGATCAGGTTTTCTTTGTACATTGCAATGATGAACTCTTAGAGTGAACTATTCTGGTTTTAATTGTGGTTTCTTACCATCACTTTCACATCTATGATATTATGCACATGTATTGTACACATGTAGTGATGGGTTTAGCAAGTTTATGTACTAGTACTGTAACTGGGCTAGATGATGTCAGAACTTAATGTCTACACAATTGTTTTAATACTCATATCAATGTTTATAATTTTGGCAGCAAAGAAATAGAAAATTTGAAAAGTGAATTGTCTTTACAACGAATGAAGGCTTTATTTGAAAGTCAGCGAGTCTTGGAGATGGAGCGAAAACTTCATGCAAATGAAAGACAACTTGAGGCTTGTCAAAGTGAGAACATAAATTTGCGTGTGTTGTTGGATGAATTGAAAATCAAATACGAACCTGAAGGTAACTATGTCTGTTCCCTAGTACATCACAACTTCCATTTAGTGTGGGAGTATCTGTTTATGGTGGTGACTACTTCAAAAAGTAATATTGTGAAATGGTATGTGACTCATTGTAAGTTTTATAGCCATGCTAAGGAACACAAGCTAAATAGTGAGGTCAATATGTTTGGTTTTTTTTTTTAGTCAGATTGGGTATAGGTCTTACATTCAAATATGTTCTCTAATACAGGTACTAAAGCGTATAGGTATGCATCGCAGGAAATGCTTCATTGATGCAATTCCTAAAACAGCATTTGTTTTTGTTTTTTTTACATGTGCTCTGAGTGAATGGAACTAAAATGTAATTGCTCTGTGGCATGTCTTTTAATTAGATCATGTACAAATGGAACTGAGTTCCACTTAAAATTTTCTTGATGGATTGTCCAAAGTCTCTTTCCTTTCAGGAAGAATAAAACAATATATTCATAAATACATGTATGAATTCATCTGTCCTAAACATCACTCTGATTTGGCGTTGTGTTTTCCCTCCTAGAATTAATGAGAGACACTGTCAGTCCTAGGAAGACCCCAGCGGACATGCTTTTGGAGAGTGTAAATAGCAGAATGTCTTCTTTTTGTGAAATGTCTTACAAGCTGTCTCCAAAGAAGGAGGAAGCAAAACTAAGCGATGCTGGTCTGAAGACTAGGCTTCAAGACATATCAATAAATACCATTCCTTCTCTAGCAATGGAAAAAGGGAATGATCAAGCTGGAAGGAAAAGAGTTAAAATTACAGAGGAACAAATTGACAGGACAGCTTTAAATAAGAACGATGGAAATGATATTGGAGCATCTCATGACACCAGGTCAGTGTCTTCTCATATATATGCACGAGGCAATCAGCACAGACCTGCATCTTTGTTCTTCCGTTGCATGAACTGTGTTATCCACATCTTCATTTGCTTTCTCAGTATTGCATGCAGTGTAATTCCCCATTTCCAGCTGCCTAGTTTGAAATTTTCAAAATTCTTTAAAAAACAGTCAATTAAAGAGATCAAAAAGGACTCCTAAATCATGAACTTCAGTCTTCCTTCCAAATGAAAGGTTTCCTTAACTTTTTAAAATCACTATTATCTAACAGCTTATATTATGCTTTCTGTATGCGTAAACAATTTGCTTAATCACTGTACTATCCTTTCATGCTCAGTTTCTATTGACATGTTTTATAATATAGAGCGAATATTTCAATAAAATATGGACAGAATTGACTTTTGGAATTGACAAAAATTCCATTTGTAGATTTCAAAATACATTAAATGCATGGAAGGGATGAGATAAGTATCTAATGTATACTAAAAGGGCTTAATGAAATTAGTGGGAAGAGAGGTCATAAGACAAGCTTTTCTTGAAGTGGAAGATGTTAAAGTCTTCCAGAAGTATAGTTTAATTACAGCTTGTTTTTTCCTCCAGTGATGTGTTGTGTTTGTGGTATGTGATTTGTATTAAAACTCTTAAGGATTAGCATCACGTGATTGATTTCCCCAGAGATACTTTCAGTTTTGAAATGTGCTGATACAGTAAAGTCTCGCTTATCCAACATAAATGGGCCAGCAGAATGTTGGATAAGTGAAAATGTTGGATAATAAGGAGAGATTAAGGAAAAGCCTATTAAATGTCAAATTACTTTGTGATTTTACAAATTAAGCACCAAAACATAATGCTTTACAACAAATTGACAGAAAAAGCAGTTCAAAACATGGCAACGTAATGTTGCCATGTAAAAACGTTATATTTACAAATTTAGCACCAAAACATTTCAATGTATTGAAAAAGCTGTGGATGTGGGCGGGAGGCAGACTGTGTTGGATAATAAAGAACGTTGGATGAGCGAAGGTTGGATAAGCGAGACTCTACAGTATAAACAAATTAGACTGCTTTCCAGCCCTCTTTTTGTGGTTGTTTATGGGTAGACTGGTTGTTTTGAATAGATTGGCAATAAAGGCCCTGCCTTAGTAATTACTTGATGATCTTGGTGAATCGGTCTGGTTTGTAGCCTGATAATAAGTGCCTTTAAAAAAAACTTAAGTCAGGCACAAAAGGTAATATACGAAAAAGAAACTAATGTGTTTAGAAAATAATGGCTTTGAATGATGAAAAAAATAAGAGCTTTCCAAAATAAAGGAAATGTTTATGCAGTAGCTAGAAATGAAGGTTGCCTTACAGTGAAGAGAAGTAGGGTAGGATCCATTCTGAGTTCTTTGTGGAATTCTAGTATTCATTATTAATAATCTATTATGTTTGAGTACACAGTGGCACTGCAGTTCACTTTCATTCTTCAAGGGCTTGCTATGACCAACAAAGGAGGGAGTTCTGCCTCCAAAATTTTAGATTTTTACTTTCTGGGAACTTTCCCTTTGTTTGGCTTTAATGATACTATTTGTATTAGCAAAGCTTAACCCTTTGCTAATTGCTAGGGCTATAGCTAATAAACACTGCACCCTTTACCTTTATTATTAGTTTTTAATGGCCTTCCTTGATGTCTGTTAAATCGTCTTGGTGAGAGAGGGGTCCTTGGCAGCAACTACAGTTTTTCTTGTCAGATTCCTTTTTAAACTCTAAGCCAGTGGTTATCAACCTGGGTCCCCAGATGTTTTTGGCCTACAACTCCCAGCAATCCCATCCAGTTTACCAGCGGTTAGGATTTCTGGGAGTTGAAGGCCAAAAACATCTGGGGACCCCAGGTTGAGAACCACTGCCTAAGCAAAGGGCTACTCACAAACTTAGGCATGCAGAAAGTCATTCATCTGAAAGGGAGAATTCTTGCTTCAGCATGCAGGACTGAATTTCACAAGATAATATCTCATTTTTCTTTGTTAAAAAAAGCAAATTGGCAGGGTTTGCGCTGTGGGAACAGCAACCACTTAAAGTGGATCTCCTCTTTGGGAGTGATTGTGTGGTTTCTGGACTGTATGGCTGGGTTCTAGCAGCATTTTCTCCTAACATTTCGCCTGCATCTGTGGCTGGCATCTTCAGAGGATCTGATGGTAGTAAAGCATGTGGTGTATACCTGTGAAATGTCCAGTGTGGGAGAAAAGAACCATTGTTTGTTGAAGAAGTGTAAAGGGTGCAATTAGCAAGGAGAAATGCTGCTAGAACACAGTCATAAGGCACGGCCAGTGATTCCGGCTGTGGAAGTCTTCAACAGTATATCGATCTCCTCCTCCTTAGCTCTGGTTGTCTCTGTGTCAAAACAAATGCCTAAACAAGTATTAGAGAGCAGAAGTTGGAGCTTCTGTGAAGAATATCTGATCTTCCTCTACCACGGAGGAATTTCCATCACTTTGAAGATGTCACAAGCCAGTGTGAGCCTCGCTGGTAACATCCCCCTCAAGAGCTTAATGTGGAGGCTGTTTTTCACTTCATGATCTTGCCAAAGCTCCAAAACTGGACAAATACCTAATTGGCTTGGGCATTTAATAAAATTAGTATCCCTGAGTGCTTGCTTTCAAATGGAGCTTGTACTCAAACCTATCGTTTCAGGTGATATCCCTGATAGTTTGGTGCTTTCCAGTTTTAACAAGAAATCATAAGTTAATTATTTCTTTTTCGTGTTTTTTATTATTTTTTATTATTGTTCCTCTGTATTGGGACACTTCTCTATTGAAGGCAATAAAAGGACAGGAAACACTTAAAGATATGAAGCATGTTGGTGTAGGTTTGGGAATGTATGTTTTAAGATGTGAATCAAATGGATGTTAATCATATGTGAAGTGGGTCTTTGGGAATGCAAAGACTGTAAAGTAGAGGGGCACTTTGGTGGACTGATCAGAGGGATTGTGAAGGATGGATATCTAAAGAAATGAGTGGCATTTGAAAAACCATAAAGTATAACAAAAAACAACAACCTTGTTTGCTATTCTTGGGGTGACACCCCCTGGATAGAGGATTTTTCTAGATAAACTGCACAAAATAAAGGTGGTTCTGAAATTGAGAATGTAATTTAAAAGTTCTTATATTTAATACCACCAATGAGGAAGCTGTTTCTTTGTGGAAGTAGAAGGTTGAGGTGAGAAATGTCACAGAAGGGGCTTAAAATGCTAAATATTAGAGGAACTAGAACCAAAAAGAATTGAGCCTAAGGTTCAAATTGACTCCTATTTAAAACAGCATATCTTTTTCAGTAATAGAGAGCTAAGATTTGTCATGTTTAAAAATGAAATAACTTCATACAGCTATGTTTATAAGTCTTATCTGCTACAATTAAATTTCTAGAATGTCTACATCTTTTTTGGGTCTGTCTCTGTCCACTGTTTGCTGTTTTGTCTTCCTCCCCTGCTTAGCCAACTATGATGGGAATACATTTGCTGAAAGTTGAAAAATAACGGAAGATAAAGATCTGTGTTTAGACTACTTTTAAGCAGTACCTACCCCTTTTCTTTTATTCAGTAAATTCAGAAGGCAGTAATACTACTCATGATTCCAGCAGACTTTAAGGGAGATGCTTGTTCATATGCCTGAGATGAGAGGAGGGACAAGTCCAGTCGTTCCCAACTTGTGGGTCCCCAAATGTTTTGACCTTCAAACCCCAGAAATACTAACAACTGGTAAACTGGTTGGGATTTCTGGAAGTTGTAGGCCAAAACACCTGGGGACCCATAGGTTGAGAATCACTGGACTAGACTTTACATGCCAAGAAACAAAATGTTGGGAATTATGGGGGAATATAGAAAGAAACATTGCCAGCACAGTTAATATATTGTAGTGGAATACAGTAATTTAAGAAGCTAGGCCAGAAGTAAACATTCCCAAAGGCAAAGAATAAAAAGTATGTCAGAAAGAAGATTGAAGTCACATAAAAAGACTAGAGTTCTCACTTACAACACACTAAGGCATGGCTAGTTTTTTTAGCCACACTTCCATTTATGCTCTTAGTAATTATGAGAGTTTTGGCTAGCACTTTATTGTTTTATGTAAGTATAAAATGCAGAAGTCACTTGTGTAACTATTCTCATTCTGGGAAATACATGATGGATATTACCTCCCCCGTAGAATGGGATCACACCGCATGGAGATCATCCAGAAGTGTTTTTCATGCAAATTAACCTAAAGGTCATTCCTCCATCCCAAAAATTGGTTAGATATTTAAAAGTCTGATTAAGTCTTCATACAGCAAATGCTCCTATGTTTGTCTCATCTGAAATTATATGATCCTTGGCTCAGTATGTTCTTTGTATTAGCAATGTGAGAACGGATGTATCCAGATGTGCCAGATGTATCCGCTAAATAGTAGTTTGATATGATTGAACTATTTGCTGGTAAATATTCATGCTGAAACGCTCCAACTTATCTATTTGTAATGCAATGTGTTGAATTAAGTGAATTGCTTTGTCTTTTTGTATGTCTACTTCTTGCTTATTTGTGGCATTGCATGGCTAAAAGAATACTGAATTTACCAATGCAGTCAGTTAATAATGATGGCACTGTTTAATCGTGTTTAACATATTTCCACTAAGTGTTTAGCAGTCTACATATTTTAACACTGTTAAATTTTTTTAAGTGAAACTAGAGTGGTTGCTTTACCTATAGGTTGATACCTGGACCTGGAGTAAAGACAGAAGAAAACTGCGCCGGTGCAGCTGAAGAGACAAGTAAATGTGAGAAGAAAGACATAAAGAAAATTTACCCTAGGGTATACATGTCTTCCAAACATGGTCCTGGCACTCAGTGTGCTCAACAGTAATGTGTGCCTCCAATCTTTTCTGTTCTTGAAGGACTTACAGATGCAGTTATATACCAACATATAGAGGCATAAAATTTGACCTGATTCTGCAATGCTTTTCATTACATATTGAGCCTTGGAGCACATGGCCTTCTGTGGAGTTTACATCTCTGAAAATTATTCTAAGCTACTGCCACAGTTCTAGGAAATATCAAATGATTAAAGGTGTGTATGTGTGTGGCAGGGTAGTTAAGCATGCCAATCCATTAGTCAGCATAGCAAAAGCACTGAAATAATTTAAAGTAACTTTACAAATGTCTATATGTACTAATTCCACATACCCATTTAAAGCAGTGTGGTACATCTGTGGCAAGTCTACTGTGAAGTTTTTTTTTTCTTCCCACCCCACAGTCTCATATTAGCAATATAAATATGTTTTTGCTACTTTTAAAACTTATAAAATGTGGTCAAAGTCTCAGACCATTAAAGTTTTTGACTTACTGTATTCAATTTGTAATCATTATTTTTCTTAATAAAGTTTGAAAATATGTAAATATAATGTATAAACATGTAGCAGTGCTTCCCTCTTGTGGTTTCCTTTATTATTTCTGCAATTCTAAAAAAAGTTCAAACTAAAGGTAAGCATTTTTAGTCTCACATCCATTATTTAAACACATGCTATATTTGTCATCTGTACTCTGTAAATCTATGTCTCCTGTGGATGCACTTTCAGAGCTATAAACTGCATTGAAAGCAGAAAATAGCTGAGTTCAGGTGAAGACTTTGCAGACTTGCTTCCTGCCAGTGCCAAAGAGGAGAATGGAACCAATCAAGGGAGAAACAAAGGTGACTTATTGAGGATTCTCAGAGGATGGTTATTCAACACTGACCAAAGGGCGACAGATCAATTGGTGCTGAATGTGCAGCAGAAAACCTATAATTGCTTACATTTCTAGCCAAGATAGGAAAAATCCTTCAACAGTGCTCTACTGTTGCAATGGCTATTTCTCAAAGAGATTGACATTGCATACTTAGAATTCCAAGGTACACTTTTAAAGTTACGGATTGTTCTAGGAAAGGTGCAAGTCCAAGACAATGAATATTTCGGTTGTAGAGCCCAGCGCCATGACATTCAGCACAAGGAGGCAGAACCAAAATTTGAATAGGCTCTGACTGCCCCCTTTATTTCTTCCTTGGCATCAGTGGTCAAAGGGAACACGTTCTAGAGCAGTGGTTCCAAACCTTTTTTTTTTTTTTACCAGGGACCACTTTGATTTTTGTTGTTGTTAACAGGGACCACACGGTTCAAAAATAATAAACTATATTGATCTAAAAATAAACTTTATTCAACACTTTTCACATATTCATTAAACTTAATAGTAACATGAATTAAGAGTACTATCTATATATATAAAAATGCTCTGTGCATAATGAGTGGCTTAAAAACAAAAAAACTGCGGGGCCAAATGACCCCAAATTTGGCAATAAAACTCCTCACAATCCAAGGAGTGACCATCACTGAAAAAACTCCACAAAACACCTTTAAATTCCAAAAAGGAAGAGGACAACACACCTCCCCTGCCCCCTCCCGCTGAGGACACAGAATGAAAGTTCTGAAGCAACTGCGGCCCCTAACGAACACTAAGGCAAGGGATCAAAGGGCAGAGGCTGAGGAGGAGGGGGGGAAGGAAAAAAGGGAGGCGGGCCACACTGTGCACACACTCTTGACTCTCTTCCCCACACACACTCCCACAGCATAAGGGAAGGAGGAAGGGGTCATACGGACACACGAAACTGACATGGTTTGGAAAGGAGCCCTAAAGACCAGCCCAGCCTCATTTGGCAGTAAAGGAAGACACCATCAAAGCCCTCATAACAGATGGCCAACCAGTTGAAAGGGAGCCCTAAAGGCCATCCGGTCCAACCCCCTCCTACCCACCTTCCCTCCCTCCCTTTCTCCACTTCCCTTCCTTCTCCTTCCCTCCCTTTCTTTCCTTCCTTTTTCTTCTCTCACCAGCTTCATCCTCCTTTATTAAAACTACAGTGTAGATGCACCCAAAGTCAATCCTTCCACACTGCCATGTAAAATCCAGATTATCTACTTAGGACTGGATTATATGGTAGTGTGGACACATGCACACACGTACACACACACACACACACATRGATGGATGTTGGATCACTGGTTGGTGTGTGTGTGTGTGTGTAATATATAATTACAATACTTTATATTATATATATATATATATATATATATATATATAATACATACATATATTGTTATATATACTACTATATAATGCTACTACTATATATCACTATATTAAATAGACTCATAGAATAGAGTTAGAAGGGACTCTACCATGGTATTGGGGAAGAACACAAGGAAGGAGAGAAGAAAGGACGGAAGGAAAGGGGGAAGGAAGGAAAGAGAAAGGGAGGGAAAGAAGGAAGGAAGGAAGGAAAGCAAGAGGTACTGAAGGAAGGAAGAGAAAGTAGAAAGGAAAGAAAAATGGAGGTAAATGCAGGAAAGAAGTAAAGAAGGAAGGAGAAAAGGAAATAAAAAAGTGAAAGAAGGAAGGAAAGGAGAAAGAAGGAAGAAAGGAGATGAAGAAGTAGAGAAAGGGGGGGGGGGTGAAGGAAGGAAAGAGAGAAGGAAGGATGAAACCAAAGAGTGAAAGAAGGAATGAAAGAAAAAGGTAGGGAAGGAAGAAAGGAGACAAAGGGGAAGGGAAAGAAAAAGAGGGAAGGAATAGGTAGGTACCTCTCTTTCATAATAGTCCAGATATCTACCTCTACCTCGAAAATTCTTACTATAGGCCACAGCAATGAGTGGCAGGGCACAGCTAGTTATAATATAAAAACATTTAAAATAGAAAATTAAATTCGGTTTGCATCAATGTGATTTTTGAGCCTGCATCTTCTTTACAAGTTGGGTAATTCTTGGGCTAATATTGCTCAAAGCTACATGCATAGCATCACTTTCAATCAATTCCTAGACTTGTTTTTAATTATCAGCAAAACTGAAAACCCTTGTTCACATAAATAAGTTGCTGAGAAGAGCAGCGGATAGCTCAAGGCGATTCTTCGAATTTTAGTATAAAAATGGGGGGGGGGGGGTTATGCCAAAACTCCTCAAAAGAATAAGATTCAATCATATTTTCCATAATTTCTCACACTTCAGCCCACCCAGCCCAAGTAAAAAGTGCTAGATTTGCTTTATTTTTTAAAGCTGCTCCTTTAGGAATTTCCTCTTTCCCCACTGAATCTGACCCCATAAGATTCCTTTCCAACTCCTAGCGATTTTGGTTTTTTTTTTTTTTAAAAAAAATTGGCTTGTGTAAACAAGGATTGGTGATAAAGTTTCAGTGGAGACACCTAATGATACTAAGACCCCTTCCACACAGCTGAATTAAATCCCACATTATCTGCTTTGAGCTGGAATATATGGCAGTGTGGTCTCTTAATAACCCAGTTAAAAACAGATATTGTGGGAATTTTTACCTTGATATTCTGGGTTATATGGCTGTATGGAGGAGTCCTGAGCCCACACTGCCAT